TTTTTTGAATAAAGATTTTAGATGTTATTTAGTTTCTGTTTTACTTGAAATTTTGCCTCGATTTACTTATAGTAATAGAGAGAAATTTAATCGTCAAGATCAATAAATCTCACGTCTTACAGGTTACACAAATCACTAATTGGAAATGATCGCTTCCACTAGATGTTTCAATTTTTCGGCGAAGCCTATATATTATTATAAAACGTACTCCAACTTTAAAACCTTTCAACCCAACGTAGAGGCGTTTTTACGACAAACCAGCCAGTAACTTTGTAAAGCATGTCACGATAAACATAATTACTGGCGGATTTTCCAAAAAAACATCTCTACGTTGAGCTGAAAGATTTTAAAGACAGGTGGTTTTATTGTCGAGTATAGAGTTGGTGCACCATAGAAATATGTTCGGTTTAGGAATCAATGGAAAAGTATGTGCTTTCATTGTTTATTCTGGCATAATGTAGCGCTTTGGTAAGTTTTTCCGTTTTCGGTATAGTATTGTATTACCTAATTTATAATTAAAACCTTATTCTTATCATGCGAGAAAATATACGTTCCCTTTACTAATAATACTTTCACCAAGTTAAAGTCCTGACTTTTACAATTCTTGTACGTGTACAAAATTTATGAGAGCTTCCTTTATGCGTTATCTTTGCAAAAAGATTTTGCTCCCATTTGAGTGGGAAATAGTATGTAGATATCAGTATATATAGATCTGAGGGTTATACAGTCTTTTCCATTCCAAGAACTGAGTTTTGTTATTGGGCCCAGGGCAGGGCGTTTATCAGTTATTATTATTATGACATTTCCACGCTTACCGTAATTGTTAAGATAATCCGTTATACTTCGTGTGACAAACTTACTAACTCGATGTGCATGAGCAAACAACATTCAACGCGCTTGTATCAATTCATGCTCGCGTCGACTCAAAAAGTCTCTCACAATATTTACAATACCAATTTGTTCACTTATTACCGTCCTTTGACATAACACCCTGTCTGACGCTGACTGTAATGAAAAGAGTAACAAGATCTCCGCAAAAGAACGAGAATGAATCCCCAGTTAAGCGTGTCAAACCAAATTCTCCTTGTAAGCAGGAGAAATGTTTAACAATCCAAAGCCCGCGAAAGAGATATGAACGATTTATAGTCAAAGAAGTAAACTATGACTATTATCTGGGTGCGGGCGAGGATAATTGGCTAATGGCTAAGGTAGATACTCGTATTTATATATATACACTTGGTCGTGATGCATTTGTCTAAAAGATTATTTTTCTGTTTTTGATCAAGATCCTTCATTTACTGAACGAGCAAGATAAATCAGAACGCCATGTTCATTTGCGCGATGACTGGGTGGACAGCACAGTAAACGTTGGTATGGTAATTTACCTTTATCTCGATTGTCAAACTCTTACTGTGTATGCATGTACGTGCTCACTTATATCACCCCGCGATCATGACAGGCGACTATGTTCACGTAATTGGCAGCTTTGATGAGCAATCCAAGAGCTGCATTATAGACAAGGACCATAATTTGATTATAGTGAATCCAGATTATTTATGTTCGGCGACGCAAGTCTCCGATAGTACATCGTGTATGAGAAAGGCTGTCCTGGAGGAACGAGCAAAAATGGGCAGTCCTTGGAGTCCATCCGCTGTATTTGGAAACATGCTCCATGAACTGCTGCAGACATGTCTGGAGAATGATAATTTTACATACGAGTTTTTGCAAGTGTCAATGCTGAACCAGATTGCCAAGTCTACTGAACAGCTGTTTTGTGCCGGCGTAGATGAAGAGACAGCGAAAGCGGAATTGGAAGCTATTATTCCAAGGTATATTTCCTGGAGCGAGAAATTTGTTGCCGCAACTCCGCAGGTATGTTTGGTGGATACTTATGGCATATTAATGGATTTGGCCTGCTTTTTGCTATTATCATAATATGTATCGTTTTTACACTAGTCAGGTGCGACTATAAATCCGCATCGTGCATCATCGGCTGACAATACAATTCTCTGCATAAACAAAATCCTCGATATTGAAGAACACGTTTGGTCGCCAATGTATGGACTAAAGGGGATGATCGATGCGTCTATCCAAGCTGAGATTATCCAAAATAACAAATCAACAAGATTAGTACTGCCGTTTGAATTGAAGACGACACGTACTTCCACCGTTGCGTATCATCATGCTCAGACAATATACTACACGCTGTTGATGAATGACCGTTATGGTTAGTGAGAATGCAATGGGGAGGCCTTGACCGAGTGAGATCAAATTTCGTCTCTAACATATTGGAATTCCAGATGTCAATGTGAAGTTGGGTTTGCTATACTACGTTCGAGAAGCCGAAGATGGAGAAATGCGCGTTGTTCCTGTTCGGCGCCACGAATTAGTTCATTTGATTATCCAACGAAACGAGATGGCGGCATACGTTTCGAATAGAAATAGACTTCCACCGATGATTCAGAATTCATATAAATGTGGCAAATGTTTTGCCAAAGACTTGTGTTTTGTTTATCACAAGGCACGTATTAATTTGAAGCGCGTCATACATGTTAGCACGAAAATTATTTTGATTATTATATTAACTTACCCGTAGGCATTTGAAAATGGGAATGGAGAGACAAGTGGATTAGGACAACTTTTTGACAACGCGACTGCCCACATGACAGAGAACCGGTCGGATTTCTTTGTCAAATGGGAAAAGTTGATATCGGCGGAAGAAACTGACATGATTAGATTTCGAAAAGAAATATGGTCTATGCTGGCGAATGAACGCGAGTTTTATGGAAGGTCGGTAATATTTTTTCTGCCTAGCGTAATTGGGTTCTGGTATCTATGAACTTGTTTTATTAACTGCAGAAAAACCCTTTCAATTCAGATGCCTGAGCAATATGAAATTAGACCCCGATAGCGTCGAAGACAATGGCAGAGGTGCAGGATCGCGTCGATACAAGTGTCGCTTCTGGCGTCACAATTCAGATGATAGGCCTATCGGATTAGGACATTTTGCTGTCGGTGATCCAATAGTCGTCTCATCTCAAGATGGTCATTATGCACTAGCAATTGGATTTGTGTATGAGACGCATTCCGATAGCATATTGGTCGATATAGACCGTAAACTTCGCGGTATTCCAAAGCGTTGTCCTGATTTCGACGAAGACACTCACCAAAATTTTGAGGGTGTCCGAGTAATTAAGAGAAAAAGTCAACCGTTTTCACGTCTTGGGCAGCAAAATGGTGTCATGACGTTAAGGATATCTGGTAGAGATGACCAGAAGATAAGAGATAACCAACACGAGACATTGTACAGGATCGACAAAGACGAGATGTCGTCGGGCATGAGCTTGGTGAGAGAGAATCTCGTAAAGCTCATGATGACTGAGACTGAAGAAAGGCATCGACAGCTTATTGTGGATATGCTTGCGCCAGAGTTTCACGCCAAGAGCTGTTATAATGAGTCGGATATCAGCGATGATTGTTTAAACGTTGATCAAAAGCAAGCAGTTGATAAAGTTCTAAGAGGTTTTATTTTTCAAAGTGGACTTGCACTCACATTTATATTTACAGCATATTGATATAGTGCATTTTAACTAATTTCAGCTAAAGATTATCTGCTCATTCTCGGAATGCCTGGATCTGGAAAGACTACGACTGTTGCGCATATCGTAAAGACACTAGTAGCACTGGGGAAGACTGTGCTTTTGACATCTTATACCCATACGGCTGTTGACAACATACTATTGAAACTGCATGACAGTAACAGCAATATCGACATTCTGAGACTCGGATCTCGCGACAAGGTACAAATAATAAACGCGCAATCAAGGATTTGTTTTTTGATCCGCCTGACGACTCTTTATTTAGGTTCATCCCGGCGTACGCAAATACACGCTAAATCAAGATGGCAGCATCGAGCACGTTGACGAACTTGCTGAATTCGTGATGTCCAAACCTGTAGTTGCAACGACATGCTTGGGAATAAATCAGTATGTTTTCGCTTGCCCAAAAAGATATGCAGTTTGAGACGGTTTTACATCCGTATTTCTAATAACATTTATTATTTAGTTGGCTGTTTCATAAGCGTAGATTTGATTATTGTATAGTCGATGAGGCGTCACAAATCACCTTACCTGCCTGTCTGGGACCATTGAGGCACGCAGATATGTTTGTTCTTGTGGGTGATCATTATCAACTACCTCCACTGGTATAATTATATTTGTTATTCTTGTTCACTGTTTGATATCCGTCGCATAGTATTAATTTTTTATTTATTAGGTGCGCAATTCTGATGCGCGGAAGAAGGGTATGAGCGTCAGTTTGTTCAAAACGCTCTCCGAGGCGCATCCCGAAGCAGTGGTGAATCTACAACATCAGTATCGAATGAACAAAGACATTATGTTGTTGTCTAACCAACTAATATATGATAACAAGTTACGATGCGGATCTCCTGAAGTTGCTGACAGATGTTTAAATGTACCCCACATTAAAAAGGTTGACGACTTTCACGCGGCTGACAATGAACAATTGTTATGCGATGGACAAAAGTGCTGGCTAAGGCAATTGGTTTCACCAGAGTATGTTTATGTGAATTTTTCCACAATGTTAGAAAACATTCAGCAACTAACTATCTCCTGCCATTATGCAGACGCAGAGCTGTCTTTGTCGATACCGATAGCGTTCCCGCTTTCGATTCGCGTGCGGGTGATGTAGTGCAGAATGAAATTGAAGCACAACTTGTCTATCAGGTACAGTGTATTGCCTGATAACCGGATACGTCATCACAACAATGCAATAAGCTCACTCCTCCAATTATAGGTTACAACAGCGTTACTCGCGTGTGGTGTTGAGGAATCTTCTATTGGTATTATATCTGTCTATCGATCGCAACTCAGATTGTTGTCTCAACTTCTCAGAGGTTATTCGCAGCTCGAAATATCAACAGTTGATAAATATCAAGGACGGGATAAAGAGTGCATCTTGGTGTCTCTTGTGCGATCTAATGAGAAACAGGCTGTACGTTAAATGTGTTGACCAGATTGGATTATAAATTATTAACCCAGTGAAGTTAATGCATCAATGTTTTTTAGGTGGGAGAATTACTTCGAGATTGGCGTCGTATAAATGTTGCATTTACAAGGGCTCAGAGTAAACTCGTTATTTTTGGTTCGAGATCAACTTTAGCAATCACGCCTATCTTTAGTCAATTCTTGACATTAATGGATAAAAATAATTGGGTAATTACAATTGCCGATTTTTTAAGCGGTGTAAAAAAATCAAAATTGGTCTGATGTTAATTAATTCGTTGTCATATTAGATTTACGTTCTACCTAAAGACGCCCACAAGATGCACGTGATGGCTAGGACGACACATTCCAAAGGAAAACAGCTCGAAAATCAGGGTGGCGAGGGAAAGTCGCCTCGGAAAATAGTCAAGGGTGCTGGTAGGGCTATCCTCAAAGATCGGAAGATACTAAGAGATGTGTCTAATGGCCTTCTGTAATTAGAAAATAATTGACTATAATATACTTTAATCAATTCAAAGTTATTAAATTAATAAAAAAAATAATTGCTAATGTGGTATACTTGGGGCACCCCAATTAGTTACGTTCTATAAAATGCACTGAAGCATAGAACACATGGGCTTTAGGAAATGATCGCGTTTTTTTTTGCAACTTGTAATAATGAGATCAAAGGTATTCGCGGAATGAATGTTTTGTTTATTTGAGTCCATTCGATTTAGAGTTAAACCGATTGCGGTTGTGGAGGTCCGTCTACTTTGAGCGATTGGCTTTATCATCAAGCAAAATAAAAGCCAGCCAATAATACTAAATACGATAAGATTAATATCGATCCTTTAAAATAATTAGACTTCCCTTCAATGTAAGTATACGTCAAAAGGAACACTGAAAACACTACTGCGAATACATCCCAACGCGGAAATACGAGACTGGATTAAAAAAGAGAGTGTCAATATCAGTTTGACACTAGGCAAAAGTAAAAGTATTAAAGCCAATCTGCGTTACTTACGTGAACGAATTCATCATTGATTCTTTTGACCCATGAGTATACCATGCAGAAAATGCTACCATTGCTGGTATCTGCAACATGCACACTTGTAAAGCATACGCTGATCCAATTTCCATACTACATACAGAACGGCATGGGATTCGCGAACGTTAGTAAAATAGCCAATAAACTATATTGATAAACATTGATATTTGTAATATTTCATACCTGAGTGCAATGTTTCCGTAAATCGCAAACGACATTGCATTCATAAATTCAGTGATATTGGGAACCAATGCAAATAGTGTTAATCCCAAAAACTTGATGTCAGCATCTTCTTCGAATACGTCACCGAGATTGGCCACAAGAATTTCTGGATGGAGGGAAAAGAATAAGAACGACTATTCATACTAGCCTCAATGGCATGGGTGGGTAAATTTCAAAATACCTGCTATAAATGAATACGCGACTGTACATAATACTAATACTACTCCACTCTTAAACTTGCTCCAATTAGGAGAATCATGACCACCGGGTTCTTCCTCTTCTTCCGGCTCGTGCGCGTGTCTAACCGTAGGTGTTGCATGAGCGGTAAGGTTTGCTGATCCAGATCCTGATGTTGCTGCAACAGCGGCTGCTGCGGCTGCTGCTGCCACCTGAGCCATATTGTAAGTATCGTAATTTACAGCGCTTGTTGGAGCTGACTGTGGACGAGGATTTGGGGGTGGTATGTCTTGATGAAGTCCTGAACCGTGTGTGTAGTGGGTTGAACCAGGCAATATCTGCTGAAGCATGTGAAGCGGGATTAAACGTTTATAGAGTGATCCACGCGCTGAGCTTGGTTCGGATTCATGGGCGTGATATGAATGCCATACTAACGAAGCATGCGTTCCGAGCGAGAAGCAAAGACCAATCGAATAAGACTTGAAATAAAATATGCCAAATTCTCCATTAAGACTGTATTAAAAGTTATATAAATATTTCACAACAGCCACTTACCAACACTAATATAAAAGCGCAGAAATACATCAGTGGTTTGACCCTTTCATCGTAAAATGGGTCATCCCATGGATCAATTGGTAGCTGGTAACACCTTTCGCACGTTCCTATTAGGCCTTCCGTTGTGGGACACTTCTCACATCTCATCTCAAACTGGACATGAATTCGGGAAATATTATGAATACCAATACGAAAATTATATTGTTAACTGTCATAATATCTACCTGGCCATATGTTTGATAAAACAGGGTCGGTGTAAGTGCTCCTATGATTGCCATGATGAGCATTGTCGATGTCACCTCTAAGAGTCGAATTATTTTTAGACAATAGTTCAATGGGGAATATAAAAGCCAGTACAAGATGAATAAAAGCAAAAATACCGACCTGCACTTTTAGCGTTAAATCTTTGCTCTTTCCTCTTTAATCCACCACTCACCATACTAATACCAGGCATAAACAAGACTCCGGCCATTAAGCTTCCTATGAGACTCCCTTCTACTAACAAACCTTTTCCGTTTACTAACGCGATAGCGTATAAAATAATCTCTATAATACTACCGAACGTTGCGTTGATCACTGCACCCAATCCAATTGACGATTGAGCGGATATCGAAGCCACTGCCATACCAATAAAGTACGATAGTGGGATGACGGAAGCAAGACACAATGAAAATCGGAATGTTGCACTGAACAGAAATCCCTCTTTTCCTAACCACTCAACGAATACATAATGATCAATAAACGTAAATAGAACAATTGGCATAAGATTAATAAATATGATGTTAATGCCATCGTAAGTGTATTTGTAATATTGGAGGCCAATAGCCTTGTAGGTGCATAATAAGATCACTGAGTGTTGCGATAAAGTAAGTGTGAGTGAAGATCCCGACTTAAAATGTAAAGAAAGTGGATGTTTCCGAAGGTGACGTGTGAGCACAAATGTGAGCTTGGCCATTGGGATAGAAATAACCATGAACCAACAAAGACATGAGACAAGCATGTAGAGTGGTCCTTGGAAATTTGATTAAAGAGGATTTCATAAAATACGTTAATACTACACATATCATGGTTAAATTCACATTCCTGAGAGTAGAAACCTACCGATTAGCAGGAAAAACCAAAAATAAAAGACCAAGCCAGCCAACCCGAGATCGCATAATTTCCCACAACAACCCGTTCGCTTTCTTCTGGATCTTCCAGCTTCTTCATATTCCAGATTATTACCCAACAATCTCTCTCTTTCACCATCCTCATAGCTCATTCTCGAATTATACTCGTGATCTTCACTTGCCCCATCGTCGAACACATTATACCACTCATCTTCAACACGTTCCACATACTTTCCGAATGGCCAAAATATGTAATAGCTTAGTTCCCTCAAGACTCTTGCATATTGCTGGCCACCGAATGGTGTAAAATACAAGCAAATGGAAACAAAGTAGGATATCAAAGCAAGCCACCACCCGAATGCGATGGCCCAAAGGACATTCCCAGGGTATAAATAAATCTCAGCTGTTGGCATCAAGTGTAATGCGGAATTAGCATCACGGGTGACAGAACGTGTTTTTTTATAAAGTGCTGGTTTCCATATGGGAAGCCCAAATGGATGAGTTATATTCATAGCCTAATAAGCATCAGCCATCACGTTACTAGTATATTCCATGATCGCTATAATGGAGGTCGTATCAATGTAAATTACACGAATCATGGAAACCAAACTTACGTCCTGTCGATCCTTGAGCGTAAACTCGCCACTCAATTGTGAATGAACATCCTCTTCGTCCTGGTCTGCGTCGATCTCCTCCTCGTCTTCGTCGTCGTCCTCGTCGGCATCCTTGAGTTTGTACGAACCCCTCCTCGGTACCGACACTCTCTTACCGGCTGATCTCTTGTGCCTATCGTGTTCGTCTCCGCTTAGGGATAGATCGGACGTGTCATAAGTCTTCCGACGCGAAAGTTTCGAAGGCGGTGACGTGCTTTGACCGGAAGAACTTGCAGCGTGTTCTGTGTTGTGATGTTCCATTCGCTGTATTGGACCGTAACATTACCGTAGGGGGGAGAGTTTGTTCAAGTATGTGCGTTTTGCTACTATTTACTATTTACTATTTATGACATAATCTGTGTAAGGCAAGTAGGGTAATGTACAGGTTTATGGCCAAATCTGGCCAGATAACGTTCGCATATCGAATGGATGTTACGATCTGTTCTGTTCTGTTAGTACTGGGATCCTGAAATAGGGTTTCCGGGTTTTTGTAAAATGTGATAATCTATAACTTTTGATTATCATCCCCCAGCGTTTTGATCTTTGCTCTATCACATCAGTTATAGGTTGGTCGTTCCAAGCTACTGTCAAGCTTATCAGCCATGTGATGTTCTATCCATTCCTAATTCATTAACGGCTTATCGATGAAATTAGTGTAAAGTGAAACGTATCAATTCGAACCCCCTTCAAAATGCAAGTTCGATTCGCCAATAAAATGATAGACGGAAATCGGGGCTAGCAGCAAACTTGGAAGTCAGTATTACCATATGTCACCAGCCTCATCGCATTGTCGGCGGACGTTATTTTACAATGATTTTGTATCTACTGTATTCGGCCACGCCATATTAGTTCAACTCTGTTATGGAGAGAATTAGCAACGTAGATAGAATATTATAATGCTTACCGCCAGGATTACTTATGCCATGTTTGATCCAATAATCCGAAATGCTCTATAACTATTAACAATACAGATGATGATACAAATTAACGTGACGTGTTATTTATAAATTCGTATTTACAGGACGTGACCAATTCCTATGGTGACGAGATAACAAGCCAATTATCTATGAGGTGCTTTCCCTTTGATCACACACACATGTAACCAAGGGCATTTTGAAAAATAAAGTTTAAAGTGTTGTTTTCTAATTTAGTTTTTTATGCAATTTAAGCATACTTCTTCACATACACTTTAATGTTAACAAATCGGGTCAAATTTCCAAATGAGGTCAGAACATTATTCCAAAAGAAGTAAAGATTCATAACAAATATTGCGTTTATGCAAGTAATGCGGCTGCAGGGTTTCTATGCATTCCAGAAATGCAGATTTCATTACCCGGATTCGACAAGTCAAACGACAAGTCAAAACCTCTGCCATTTAAATTTTTCTTGACAAAATGTCCTAACCCAAATCGCAATCTGACCCAATTCGAAATAGACGCCTTGTCTAAATAAAGCGACATCTAATCAAATTGTTTATCGAATGAAATGTGCTTATTTCGAATTGGGTCAGATTGCGATTTGGGTCAGAACAAAAATGATTACTAACACAATGTTATAATTACATACCGTGAATGAATTGTTTTCAGGTCGTGTTTTATTCTACAAAAATAATAAATCTGAAAATTAACAATTAGATGTCGCTGTTTATATAGTCGCACCTGTCTATTTGCATACTGTTGGGTCCGATAGATTTTTATGCAAATAAACAAAATATGCAAATATACTCAAAATTTTATTACAGTCAACTGCCTCTAATTCGGACACCAACTTTCCGAGATAATCGTCCGAATTATCGTAGATGAACGAATCATCGATTCATTGTGCGACCAAAATTAACCGCAAATTTTATTATGAAAATATCAATGTGGATATTTATCGAGAAAGTTTCCTAAGGATAACTGTTTATACTGTAATTTACGATAATATAAACTCAACTTATTAGACAATCACCCATTTGTGCCTACAAAATTCGTTATTCCTAAACGCTTTGCATAGACACGAGTTTTGGCGATAATCGTTGTCGTCCATAGCCATAATAATAATGCTTGTTCTAATTCTGGCCATTTCGGAGGTCTATTTTTCAAGCGTTGCGTAGAAGTTTTATTAATGTCAATAGCTAACTATTTTTTTGATTGAGCAATAATATCTTGTATTGTCTCCAAAGTCTTTGCCAAGACTACGATAGGATATATGAGGATTGTCTCTTTAACGTTTACATATTTCCTGCTTTGTGCAACAGTTAAATGTGTATAGGGTTTGGGACATTTTTTACCAGTATTGTTTTGTAATTATTCATCAAACTCTTTCGTGATTTGGACGGCTGTAATGGACGAATTAAGGCCCTATTCATTTCATGTTCTAATTTTTTGGCTTAAATTCTGAGAACAAAAAAAATTATAATATCATTATGTCCGTGAATAATAAGTCTCTGCTGTTATTCCAACAAGCACTGCTACTTGCAGACTCTTCTAGCAATAGTGTTAGTATTAGTAGGCGGAGTCCTTTTATATATGGAGTTGACATTGACATAATTGATGGTACCAATTTTTTTTTTGCGTTCACGTTTGTTTCCTTTTTTGCTGATGGACACAAGTGTCTGATGTGTCCATTTGTTCCCACTTTTCATTACCTAAATTAGATATTCGACCTAAATTTGGAAGGTGAACAAAATCGGAATAGAAATAGGAACATGAAACGAATAGTAATATAATAGGGTTTTTACACTGCTTAATTTTATACAATTGATCGCTTACAGCTGTCCGAACTGAATTACCGAGATTTCATAATTATGGACGAATAAAAGGAAGGAATTTGATATGAAAAGAGTCCGGCGTCAAGTGTCCGGATTACCGAAAATCCGAATTAAGGAGGGACGAATTAAAGGCAGTTGATTGTATTATTATTATTATACAAAATTTTATTGCTACCATTTTATGATGAAGAACACTACGTTAAGCAATCAACAACGCTACCATATCTGTTTAAAAAAGCAAGATAATCAAATAATGACCCAAAAATAAAAAGGAATTTGTAAACCTTGGTGTAAGCAACGTTAGTAATTTTTTATGCCACAACAACAACAATAATAATAACAATAATAATAATAAATTTAATCATCTGGTATTTATTCAGCACACATGGGTGACTCCTAATTTGCCGCGCTTCTACTACTGAACAAAGTTACTGTATTCTTACGCATAAAAATAAATATAAAATATAAATATAAAATTACATATATCTTATATCATAATTCTATCTACCGTACATTATACATAGCTATTTACATGACGGGGTTGACAACTCTCCGCTGAGAGGAATAGATTGTGCACTCACTGCGATAACCAGTCAGCTTAGAGTAAAGAGAACGGCCAAAGAGGTCTTTGATGGCCAGTTTCTACGGAGTTCTTGCTTGGTGGTCCTTTTGCGGTAGTGCTCCAGAAGACCAAAAAAGGTTTGTCTGATTCTTTGCACTGTAATGGTTGTTTCTGCTTGTCTCGCAGTAATGTATGCGAACCAAATGGTTGGTATGCAATTAATCATCTGGTTGTCTCGCGTTCACGTTTTGCTAGTTTTGTCTCAGCTCACAATAACTGTGCTACTATCACTTAAACTGTACTGGGGGATTCACCAACAAAATCGCTTTATATCACTTGATACTAAGTAAATACCCCCAACATATTTAATTCGCCAGAAACCTTAGAATCATAGCTATTAATATATAAGCATAGTTGCACGAGTCGGTCAATATTGTCTGCTGATTGCTTGCTGATCACTAACCCTAAGTATCGATCAATTGCTGATGGTGCTAATAAACGTTATAATCCCCCTACAATTAACATTGTCAACTGTTAGTTAATTGGTTCGTGAGTTGTTGTTATGAAGAAACAGGAGGACGGATTTGCTGAATATGGATATAAGCCAGAACATGAAGAACAATAATAAAGGCACTGAAGACGAATAAAATATCAAAGCTGAATATGACAGAAACAGAAAAAATCGATTTGTATAAATTTCTCAAATACAGACTGGTTATCTTTCGAGTATAGTGTAGAGCTGTCTTGAATTATTAATAAATAGGAAGCGAAAATACAGTGTCTCTTTGTTTTTTCATAGATTCGGTTCTATGATTGGGTATTAAAATTTTTTTAACCGCGCATTCAAGCACGTGATATACACTTGTTGCTTAATTTTTATTGTTAATACTAATTAATGCTAACACAATAAGATTATACAAACGTTTTCCATTTTTGGCTCTGACATCACCGCAATCTCCCTGAAGCCACAGAGAAAAAACCGCAACCTCGCTTACCTCAATCGCTCATTAGACATTTGTAGTAAGAGCATAAGTACAGGATGAATTCGTCCAAGCATGAACAGGCCGTTGCAGAGTTGAATTCATCAGATCGGACGACGTGTTTGAGTGCTCTTCGGTTTATTAAAAATAACGTTATTGGCAATAAGACAAAGAAAGATCTCTATATTCAACTCAATGTCATACCAAAGTAAACATCTAAAAGGAACCTGATTATCATAAACATGAATATACCCGAAAGTTTAACTAATAGAACCTAAAATATGTGTGCACATTAGGCTGGTCAAATTCCTTAGGAGTGAGGCTGATACGCAAGTGAAGATCCAATCTGTAATAATTCTTGGAAGTTTTGCGTATGGTTGGTAGCGAACATTGATAACCTTGTAGCATTCTTATTTTCTCCCGGTTCTAACATTATAATAAATTTACCTTAAAAGGTGGAGAGGAGAATGTAATGGACCTTGTTAGACATAATGCGATAAGACCTCTATTAGACTGCATATCATTGAAGAATGACCCAAAGTTGATTGAAGCGGCAGTGAGAGCGCTCAAGGCCGCTTACAAGTCACCTGCCGCAGACAAGAGTGATGTATTTCACGTGAGTTTAAAAATAATAGAGAAACGGACATTGAATACTACGTGGATTTACATATACATATCGCTTTATTCCGTTTTCGCATTTGAACCTGTGACAAAACTCACAAACTCATTTCTTAACGCCCAATTTTTTATTATCTTTATGATTGACTGTAGGACGATTATCTTCGAGATATCATCGTACTTTTGAACCTAGATTCTCTAAATCCAAAGACGGATCGCGAAAAGATCATGGCTATTCACATTGCCGAAGTTGCTGCAACGATCATTGCTCGATGTTGTGATACGGTCGAGCAGCAATTGCAAATAGCACGCGCGGGCGCACCTTCTGCGCTAATAAAATTGCTTACATGCGGTTATTCTAAAGCTCAAGAAGCTGCTTTAGATGCTTTGGCGTTTCTGTGTCGGGAGAATCCCATGTTTGGCAAAGCTATTGTTGAAATCAAAAGTAACTATGTTGTCTTGGAGCGGTTGTAGTGAAAATAGTGAAAGTTTATTGTATATGCGAGAGCTATGGGAAAAGTGAGAACAAGCGAATGTATGGTTGCTAAATCGATGTTTCATAATTCAATATGTAGCTGATACAGGGGGCAGTCCTGTTGACATTATGTTGAAGCTAATACGAGACAAATCACCGATGATGAGATTAATAGCGTCGAGATGGTGAGTGTGAATGCTTTGTATTCACTGCATGAAGGCACATCTGTCGCCGCATTTCATATTATTATAATTGAGACTTCATTATATCATATTATTTATTTTATTTTATTTTATTTTATTTTATTTTGTTTTGTTTTGTTTTATTTTATTCTTTATCTTTTAGCTTGACGCACTTGAATCGTTGCAAAGCAATAGAAGAATATTCCGATGATATAAAATTGGGTGTCTTACCAACACTTGTCAAATTACTCGATGAGAAAGGGCCTGTTCAGGAAGAAGCACCTCATGTCCTAGGTAAATTTTGGCTATGCATTTTATCTCAAGCCACGGCTATTGCGTGTATTACAAAACAATTCTCATGTTATACGCTTCATTCCGTAAAAATCTTATTAAAGCATATTTAATCAGAGACAATGAAAGTCTGCAAAAGGCTGCTTGTGATGCAGAGGCTATAACAAAGTTGGCTCAAATTATTACTCAGATTGGAAATGAAGAACGACAATATTACGATTCAGCTGATAGTGACAAATTAAAAGAGGTAAAAAATTATCTCGTTTATCCCTTACTAGTAAATTACTAGTATCTAACAGTATGTACCTTAATACAGAACGCTCTTACTGCTCTTGCCGCAATGAGTTCATTGACTGACGCTGGTCGCAAACTGGTATAGTAACAATTACTTGACTGCCGATGTATTCGAATTTCAGAGGATTATTATAATAATGACCTATCATCATAACCCAGGTTGTAGAAGCGAATATAGTAACACAGATTGTACAAGCAATGTCGCATCGCTCATATGGAGTGCGGGCTGCGGCATGTCAATGTACGCGGAGTCTGTCCAGATCAGTAAACATACTACGTACCAGTCTAATAGATGCGGGTGTGGCTGGTCCATTATTTAAGGTAGTAGTGAACTTACGTGGTGAATCTTCTGCGGTTGTTAGGTATGAGTGAAATTGATATTTATCCTGTCGTTTGTGATGATAGCTTCTCTCTGACGAATCAACAGATGTACAGACAATTGCATGCGCTACACTATGTAATATGGTCCTCGAATTTGCCCCGATGAAAAAGGTATTTGTATAATATATCACTATCTAATGTAGAGTAATAGACTCCATTAGTTTTCAAGAAAAGTACGAAGATGATTGATTACATTTGAAATATGAGCAAATAATACGCAATCAGTTAATTATGCGTTGCAAAATCACTCATGATTCAATCATCGTTTTAATATCTATAGACGGTCGTCGAAATGGGTGGAATAGAGAAATTCGTAGAATTGCTTCGGTCATCTGACAATGCTCTTAGACTTAATGCAATATGGGCATTAAAGAATTTAGTGTGTTCCGCAGAATCAGATATAAAAGAATCCGTAATGAAAATATTGACATATCCTACAATGGCAAGGTAGGTTGTCGGATATTATATCTGTGTATAGAATTATATGGGACTCCAGAATACATATGTTTAGCAACTGTCTTGCAAAACCTTTTATATGACATCTGGTTGGATGTAAATTGCATATAGCCTAATAGACGATCCCGAGATTGATATTCAGGAACAAGCAATTACGCTGTTGCGTAATCTTGCCTGCAAACGACCAGTGGTATGTTATCATTGTAAGCCGGCAACAATTGAATTTTAGATATTTCCTGCTGACCACGTCTAATTGAACCAGGATATCGAGGAAGTATTTAAAGGATTGGGCGAAAATCAATTAATGGATATAATTGAAAACAAATTGCTTCGATACGAAGCAAAAGAAGAGATCATTATGCAGGTAACGATTAAACACGCAATAACTTGAACAGTTTGTATTCGTTGACTGAATCATAATCATTTAGATTTTGTATGTCATTACTAATATCGCGAGCGGAGACGAACGACATAAGCAAAGCATCATGAGTCGATCATCAATACTACAAAGCATACTCAAATATATGAGCCATGATAATCCGGAAATACGCGTGGCCGCAGTCTGGTGTCTCAACAATCTCACCCATCCAGAAGACAAACAAATAAGTAAATATAATGGTATACAAGTGCAAAACTTACTCTGCTTTCATGCTGATTATTTTTATTCTATGTTTTGTAGTAGGAACACAAGAAAGAATCAGACGATTACGACAGATGGGCTTTGAAGAGAAAATTAAAAACATGGCGGAAGATGGACATTTAGATGTCCGTGAGCGCGTAAAGCAGGCAATGTCTCAGTTTTCACAAGTATAGACGCAGTGAACGATCCTATTATTCCCCACTCAATTATCTTGGGGACAAAATGAGAGTAACTTTAATTGTTTCTCCAGAGTATCTCTTGTATTTTCAAGATACTTTGCTATAATACACATTTCCCTTTTCGTTCTATCCACTCCATAGATTTCATCTCCATTACCGATCCCCAACTTTCCCCCAAGAACACAAAAATGAAAGTTTCAATGGTACTCAATTACATATCACACAATACCAGAGTATATGGTCGATGACAATGGCAAATAACATCATATTACATATTAGCAATCACTTGTATTATATTCATACTCTGTGAGTGATTCTCACATATGTATGCTTGGACATTGTATTCTCGAGAACCAAATTTTGAAATTAAATGTTTGTTATACACTCATCGTTTCGTATTTCAAGCTATAATACGACCAAGAACCCATAACAGATGGGATCAATTAGACCAGAAAGCATTCAATAGAATATAAATTTACGTATTAACTCACCACAGTTCAGAGGATTTTGATTGTTCTCAAGCCTGTGTATTATAATTTCCATCGGATCTAATGAGCTTTATCTTTGATAACAGTGTGCCGGTCATTGGTATACTATCCGATGACAGAATGGCTTATATTATCAGACACTCTATCGATCAACGTGACGGAAGACGTGAGTACTATCGCGTACTCGCCTTCCGACATAAGTCATCATGACGACTCGACAGCCTCTTCATAACCGTCTACACCTCCCAGCTTTTCTATCATGTTGGTAGCCAGGCTGGTCTTGTGCTTTTCCTTTTCCAATTCCCATTCAGCTTTCTGCAGCTCCCATTCAGCTTTCCGTACGCTTGCATCCAGAGTTATTTCCGACTCACGCAGTCGTTGTCCTTCCAATCTGTATCTGGCCATCTATAAAGCAAAGACAAATGAATGAAATGGAGCATATGATTAGTACGGAATGGATCAAATTGTAAATGCAGTTCAATACATCGACTAGTTGCAGTTGAAACCCAGTTCCTAATCCAGCGATGTGATTTTGTCCTCACCTTGTCCTCGTATTCAGGTGCATATGAAATAATCTGCATTGGCTTAGCTGGTGGATAGTAATTATTCTGGGTTCTATGAGGAGGAGGAGCATTGTATGAATTATTGCCAAAAGGCGGTCTCTGATAGGAGTTATGATACGCCTGTCCGCGTGAATAAGAAGTATTATTGAATGACCCAGAAAACTCTCGCGGAGATGGGCCAGTCATACGCTGATATGAATTATAGTTTGACAAGTTGCGATACGGAGGTCTCCGATCATAAGCCTGTTGTGGAAGATTGTTTACTAACAAGGGAGGCCGCGAATCTCTGGGAGTTATGTAGGGTACTTGTCCTCGAAAGGCAGCATGTGAGAGATCGTCTCTATCATGACGGCTAGAGGAAGATAAATCTCGCGAAGTAGAAGAATAACCGGAATCTCTTTCTGTTGCATAGGAAGAGGATGAGGCCGAGTCGTGGCGACTAGAGAAGGATAAATCTCGCGAGGTAGAAGAGTAGCCATAATCTCTATCTGTCGCATAGGAGGAGGAGGAGGAGGAGGAGGAAGAGGTTGTGGTTGTTGGTCTGTATGAAGTAGTGTCTCTGCCGCTGCGATTGTACGTTGGTGGGGTAGTACGTCGCTGATCGTAGTTTCGATCCATAGACTTTTTTAAAAAAAAAGTTTAAAAGGGAAGGATGTAAGACTCTGATCCAATACAAAACTGCTGCGATCTGCATAGTGCACGTGGATTAGCGTTTCCCAATTTATTTAGCGTAATGCCAAGATCTTGGCAACGTGCAGAAAGTCAAACTTTTTGTATGCTGACTCGATCGCAGATCGTTGGTGCATCGATGAAGACGGTCCCCGTCCGCGATAAGGTTAAGTAGGAATGGGAGTGTGTGGCATTTTAATAGGTTATGGCACCAATTAACGTTAATGCAAATTATGTCAGCTAAATTCGACAGTAACTTCTCGGTTTTATTTATGTCTCACAAATAATATTAAGAATTTTGTTGATTGCGAAAGACAAATATTTATATCATGAATATCGTCTTCGGAATGATGTTCTATTTTAATTTACCCTTATCGGTAAATAAATTTACGTGCTGTTGACTTCCATTTTCAACAGACGCCATTCCAATGTTATCATTCACATTGACAAATACAATTCTGGCTAAAAGTTGACACATGCAACTGACTGGTCACTATTCTAGGTTTGTTTTCAATTTGGATAAAAATAATTTATGGACTAATTTACAGTAGGAATTGACGGCCGTGACGAGTACAAGAATCAGCTAAAAAAATGAGACATTGTCCGAATCGCGCACGTTCAAATCATACGCTGTAAATTACTACACCGTAACACATCCTTCGCTATGGACCGATATCTGTCAAAGACTTGCAGAATGATCTTTCATCAAGACAGAGATTATTAGGTGTCAACATGCAGTTAAAAGAGAAACGTTTCAGCTAAAATCCAATTCTCAAACATTCATATCGTTAAACGTTTTAGGTATCGTAAATAGTCTTTACTGAAAAGAGCTTGCACATGAGACTTGCTCTAATCAATGATAACACTTTGGGTAAACATACCGTTAACTTTCACCCGGATAAAGATTTTCAACACTCGTTCATATGCGGGAAAGTCCGCGTGGTTAATCTAATGCGTTAAAAAGCATGAACATTAAACTTGAAAATCGACTAACTAAAATTAACTGAATATTAACCGGAAAAAGAAAATAGCAAGAGAGTTGTTAAAAGACCGATAGGCCGGTCACAAGCATAAGCCGTAATACAAAGAAGTGATATCAATAGTATCGGTTAGAGCGAATTATTGTTTATATTAAAATTTCATGCGTATTATTCCAATCATCGCATTGGATTGACGAATGTGGTAAAGTGCAGCTCATTTATAAAATTAATTACAGACATTGACATGAACATACTTTTATTACTGATGACAATTTGCTGCGGAACAAGATAACCATAGTTTTTACTTTATCTGACCGTTATTAATCGAATCGTCTCACTCGACATGATGAAAGGTGGGGAGTTAATACCTACTTATTATATTACTAGTATTACCAATTGTAGATATTCGTTATACATCGTGAAACCTGGAATTAAAGATATCACCCAATATGCAGTGATACTGATTAATGAATTTCCAACATTTCGGAAAGCCGATAAGATGCAAAAGAATCTACAATTAAGGTGACGTAACCAGCAAGTTCCGTCTATTATGGTAATAAGGAATTTGTTGAAAAGAATTCCAGAATGTCCTTGTAAAAGAGAACTGCTAATTCGTAAAACATCATTTACGCCCATTCCCGTTGCAAACTAAAGCAACAAGGGATGACTTGTCGATAAAATCATTAAGGTTGATTCTGGTCATTATATGTTCCATGAGAGTTCATCCTCTTTGCCCCCTCTGCTTAGTGGAGGATCATCCTGATTACCGAAATGACATGGGGGAATTAATGAAATAGTACCAAACAAGGAAAATAATGAATTCTGGTAAATAAAGTTATGGATTAATTACCAACTCCCTTTTTCTGTTGACAATCTCAGTTTCCTTAAAAATAAAACGTCAAATGAACCGGTTGATGGAATCTCAATCAAACTAACAGACCATATATAACTGCGAAGAAGAAGAAGAAGAAGAAGAAGAAACAACCACTGTCCGTGTTATGATGTACTGTACGTATACACATTAGAACAATGACTGTAAACTGTAACTGATAATACAAGAGGTTTATTATCCTGAGAGAATGCGTGTGACCGTCGATTAGATATTGATTGTGAGTGACTTTGTCATAACATAAACAATCTTTGAAATAAAGATAAAGAATTCACAGGTCTTGCAATTATACGCCGTGTTACTATGTGTCGCACTTATTTACGCAGCTGATTAATTGATTGCCTAATCTGTTATAAACATACTCGACCTACATGATGCCGATTATTCTAAAAACTGCAGAAATAAATTATCTCATAGTTGTGTCCCATTAGCGGAATAAAGTGTTCTATATTTGGTCTGACTTTTGTATTACTTAATACACTTGACGGTCAGACAGCGTATATTCCGTGCGACCTCGGGTATTCAACTACGATCATTCCACAGGAGAACAAGAGGTTCTGAAAAATATATTCTGTACCAACATTGTAATTAAAAAATCACGAATAAAGTATGAATCCTGTTCATTGGACAACATGTCCATGCATCAGAAATACAATAAATACGACCATTTTCCTTTGACCACTCCATGTCCTAAACTTTGCAAGTCTTGCCTCCGTGCTCCAGTGCTGGCCATTCTACCCACATTCTCTCTTTCTTTTTCCCTATTTCCGCCCATCCCAACCCATCCATCGCACTCTGTCTTTTTCCTTTCGCCGTCGTGCTGACTTGGGCTTATTCACCGCTTCTTTTAAACCCTGGTGAAACATACACATATACACATCAACTATTACAAAGTGCCAGTTGCTGGACAAGACACAAAACACAATAGAAACATATCTCTTACCACAATGAAGACATTCCTCATATTCGCACTGTTCGCTCTCTTTACAATTGCCGTTACGGCCAATTCTCCACTTGATGAGGACCTCGCACTTCCCGGTGGATGGCGCATTGGTCAAGCCACTCTAATGCAAAACGATGCGAGTGATTTAGCCAAACGAGATTTCGGTGCTCAAATAACCTGGTACGATGGCAACGATCTTAAGAACTCTGCATGCTACGGGCGCAACGGTTTGAAAGTCTATAATGCGAAGCCAAGCGACTTTATTGGGGCCATGTCGATGCGAAATTTCGAAATGTGCTACAAGTGCATCCAAATCAAGAACGGCAGATCCAGCGTTAAAACAATTATCGTAAAAATTATCGACTTATGCGCTGGATGTGATCCAAAGAAAAAGAATGTCGATCTTACACCAGGAGCATTCAGGAAATTAGCAAACCTGGACGACGGTCGAGTTGAGATCGTGTGGAGACCTCTTCCCAACTGCCCCAAAACCGGTGCGTGGCCTACGTTCGAAAATCACTAATCTTGAGTAATGGGTTAATTCTAGAGATCTATTCGACGGTAGGAATAATAGATATAGAATATTAATATAATACAGTACAGTCTTCGTATCTATTTATTTGTTCAGTGATGGTCCTTTCTTCCCCGTTATTTTTCTTCCTTTCTGTACATGTTCTTTCTTTACTACCGTTGCCTGGAGCAATACACATAGCCTTGCGCGTAGCTCCGAGTTGTGTCGTGCATGGAGGCAAACACATGTATCGTAATATTTTTGTAACAATTCTGTTAAGAAAAAAAACGATGTATACATTTTTAACATGTACATGAATTGGGAATACAATTTACGCTTGCTAACATGGAATTGATTAAAACTGTGTTTTTTCAGTCCTAGTTTTGGTCTCGTTTTGACATGATTATTGCACTTGTGACGCTACGTACCAGTTGGGAACGCATATGTACAATTGTCATTGGTAATTATAAAGTCTGCAGCATGACCAATTCGCACCCGCGGCCATATGTCTACCGCATACTCGTGTCCCGGAAAATTAAACACGTTTTAAAAGACGATTACAAATATGGAGAAGAAAAGATTGCGACTTGTGAGATTGCAGAAATTGCCACTATGAGACATATTTATATCCCTTTGTAAACAAATAAACCAAGAGATTGGCTGATTTATCGTTCAACCGAAGTAATGCATCTAACGTTAAGTATTTTTACATAATTAACAAACAAATAAAGGGGTTTTCTAGAAATACCATAGAATTATCGTTTTCCATGTAAGTACTTGTAAGATTGAAATCTTGAATTCCTAATTTAATCACTATGTAACCACTTTCCTGGTTATCCGATGTTAGTATTGGAATTAACTCGTTTCTCTTCCCAGATTTGGCGATGAAGGATTAGATGTTGCTTGCAACTCGATATTAAGAAATTCAAGCGGTTACGCCATGTTGCCTCAACGTAGTTGTTATCTGGTATTGGCTACCATTGTTTTTCCAAGCGAGATAAGGCTTTCCTTTACAGTCGCATTGTCCAAAGCTTGTTCGTTTTCTACGGAATCGACCATTACGTCTCTATCAAACTTCTAATTCTGGGATCCATAATAGTAAGTATTACGGCATTGATACCATTTATTATTTATACAATAAACCGATCGGTGTTCCACATCATAATCGTCGTTGTGTTACCATCTGTTGTATATCTACCATTGAAACATATTAATACATTTTGAATTACAATTATGGTAACTAATTTGTCTCACCGTATTATTGTCTTGTTGCATTGTGTAGTTCCCAATGGTTATCAAAGAATATTCCCGTATACGAAAAAGTAATTGCTCAAATTCTGCAAACTGCATAATAATAATATCTTTTGGAGCCAACGATCGAATGTAACTGGATTTGTTCATGTTCGTATGTATTATGCCACGTTCCTGGCTTTGAATGTTTGTATTGAGCGAATTCCTTTAGTTGTCAGTTACTAAAGAATGTGAGTGTTGAAGTGTAGCCCATCACATGTTATACATTATGGCAATGCAAGAGTGGTAAAACCCGAAAATAGCTGATTGTAATCGGGTCATTCATCCCCAACGGTAAACTTTGATATAACGCGTTAATGCGATTATCCGTTTGCACACACGATTAATAAGCCAGAAAATGATTTTTCGATATTAATGCTTAATATTTTTTATTGCAGGTTAATACTATTTATAAGAATTGAATTTTTACAATAAATGTAGCGTCTCATCATCCAATGGGATTCCCTTTCTCCTATATACAGTACAATACATTTGTTTCGTCCCCTTTAGCAATTATTTTCTCCCCGAGAAAAAAAACCCAGACTAATAGCATTGATCAATTGTTCATAAATTGTTGTATAGTAACAACTGAGCGAAATTAAGTTGCAGTTTAAATTTATAACAATAATTATTTACGCAACCTTGATATACCAAACCCTATTGTACAAATATTAATGCTAAATTAATACCCGAGATTCTCTTCGACTTTGCATGATTCATATGCCTGCTGTTCCATCAAAAACCTGTTCCTGTCAAGTTGTTCCTTTTCTTCCCATTCTTGACGATCTTCAAGGGTTAAACCACACCATGTATCCACAATCATTTTGCTAACAGAACTGAATGGTACATGAGAATGTAATGTCCATAATTTGGGTAACAGCTCCTTGGAGAATAGAAGAAAAGCAGGCTTGGGAAGTTTGGGTGGTGTTGACGGTGTTGACGCAGACGTTAAATCTTGAATATCTGATGATGACTCAATATTGGCAATCTCTTTGTTTAAAGATTGCGTGTCAGCAGAACCAGCAAATATTGCAGCTAACTCTTTCTTAAACAATAGTTCATCTTCGGTTGGAAATCTGTCTGTCCATGATTTCTGCGAGTCGAGATGTACATCATTATATAACATTTCGGGACGAATATAGTTTATTGAATAAAAAGGAAGAGCCGTGAGCGGAGAATCGCTATCAGATATTGTAGCGCTTTTGCCAGTTTTCTGTGAAAGCGGAGACATATTCTCCTTGTCGTACTCCTCGTCATCTTCATCAGACCTAAACGCCAACAAACTATTTAGCTGTCTCTCAAGTGTTGCAGTCATTTCTCTTTTTCTTTTTTTGTAAGCGCGTTCCTCCGGTTCAGGTGTATGCAAATTATCATCGTAATACCTTTCAAAACCGGTGTTTATTAAATTTTCAGACGTTATATCCTCAAATACACTGGGTTTATTATAAGCTCTTGGAGGAGACGTTAGCCGAAATGTATTCTGCGTGTCATGCAACAGTGACAATGGCGTTCGTCTTGTTCCTGAACGATGATTGCTGTCGAACAATTCCTGATTTTCATCGTTGCTTACGTCAAACGGATTATCCGAACAGTTTGAAACGTTATTATGCGGCGTAGACGAAATCAACTCGTTCGCTTTCGCTTCCCACGCGAATCTACCAGTCGGTGTTAATTGGTTCCATTGATCTTGTACGAGAAGATTGACATCTTCTTCGGGATATCGGGGCTGCATCTTCCAGACTTGAGAGCGAACGTGTTCGGCAAACAGGTAATAAGAGAGTGGCGGTTCGGCATCGTCAATGGAATCAACCGAGCTGGGTTGGACGTTTTCGATCGGACGACATCCAGGAGAAAATATCCCGTCAACGGTAGAAGCGGAATTACCAGGTGAGCACGTTACAAAGGGGCTATCGTCGGATAAGGAAGGGTCGATATTACAAGTATTTTTCTGCATATTGCCGTTCGCATCATCAGGGTAAGTGTAGTTGGCGTTACTGGGAAGACTGTCAGATTGTATAGTATCGCTAGTATCTTCGTCAAAGTCAGGCATGTGAAGAATTCTGTCCAAAGAATCTTCAATTTCGTCTATTATAACATTACCAACATCAGCAGCAGTGCAATGGTCATTGTTGTTATCGTTGTTATTATCGTTATCGTTGTTGTTATCACTGTTATTATCGTTGTTAATGTTGTTATCATTGTTATTGTCGTCGTCGTTATCCTTCATGTCTGCTTTCAACTCGTTTGTTACACCCATCATCGCCTTGTGTTTGACTAGATAAGCCGCTATCTCTTCATCGTACTTTACTTTGTCTTTTTCTGCCTTCTTTTCCCAAGGAGCTCGCTCTTCCGGTGTCATGGCCTGCCATTTCGCACCAAATTGACTTGCTTGTGTCAACGGGTCGAAATTAATCGGAACCGACATCATGGCCGTCATGTGTGCAACATAAAACAAAAACGAAGTCAAGGGAAGCCGGGGCGGCCACAGGTCCTCATTGTCATATTCACGGTTTTCGGCTTTTTTATGATCACCCTGCGAATCGGTGTCTTCTGTGGAGGGATTCATTTATTACTTAATTTTAGCTCAAAAATATTAATTTGCACTACCTGGCGGAGAAGAGAACTTTCATGTTTAAATACTTTTTTCACTCGTAAACAATCACGAATTTTCGTTTCCTGCACGTAAACAAACACGAAAAGTAACAATTTTAGGTAGAGTGTACACGTCTTGTGAAACATTTACATACCCAATGTCACATATACTGTCTGTTGAAACCCGCATTAATCGATCCCTCACTGGTATTATCAGTTATGCTCTCCCGCCAAGGCAACTTCCATGTATTGAACAACAGAAGGTAACGCAATAGAAACTGAAATTGTAAGACGTCATTAAGCGTCAACTATTATCTGCAATATTACTCGCAATTGTCATTGCAAGACGAGCCAAAATTCGGGTCATTGTCCATTTACGTGTTGTTTTGTAGAATATGAGCGGAAAGGACTAGTAATTTAGAATCCATTGATTGTAAAAGCCTGTAGCGTTTTTTAAATCATTAAAACACGCATACTAACTATGTACTAATAAATGATCGTCTCTCGTCGAAGTCAGTATCTTTCGTCTCCGCGAGAACAAATCTCCAAGTCAATAACGGTTACCCATAGATGATTTGGATGAGAACAATGGCCCATATGAGTTGCTGGAAGACATAAGCTCATTCCCAGCTAACATTATAGCATTTGAAAATCTACCACAGGAGACTAACACTGCGGATGCATATGAATCCTTCAGGGACGCGCTGGACTTGAGCAAAGATCTCATACTCCCAATTACCGATCTTTTCATCTCAGAGCAGTTTGAACACCTCTACTCACCCGACGCCGAAAGTCCCACATCAACTACTCGTATGAGAGATGGCGATTGATGGCGATTTATCAGACACAAACCATTTGTCGATGACATCGGGAATTGAGTTTTTTCCATCACATCCGACATGATGTTATCAATGAACACGTCAGTGACAACAGTTAAACGCTCCACGTGGACAGTATTAATAAGGGTAAATATACTTACTCATTAATACTAACACGTATTAATATTATGCAAGTTTAATTAACTATAATATTATTCCCGCTTTTTATTTTCTTATACAGAATGGTGTGATAAAGGAGGTGGAGAAGTTGATTCAAGTCGATGAGATTGCGTGTACGACAAAGGCAAGAATAAGGAGCAAATAGAAGAGTTAATTAAACCCATCACTGTAGCAAGTCCAAGAGGATCCTCTGGCCGCCACAAAAATATCAAGGAACCAAAATTTTAATTTACGTAATCAACAACTCTTCGAAGCCAAAATGATAAGGTTGCTCTTCCTGGGAGTTTAGGGTTTTATGGCAATGTTGTTAGTATTTGTTTATTTATTTTAATGCGATTGATATCCTAGGAACGTCATATGCTATCATAAATTCGATCATCAATCAGATAAAGAAAACATCCCAATGGTCTAAATTTCCGAACCCGATCCTGCACAGAGTTTTATGTTTTCAGATGTATTGCAATTGGCTATGTTAATGCCATTATTCTTCGAAAGTTATATATTGGATTTATCACGTATTGATCAGGTACCACTCAAAGGTAATACAAGTCTGGGTGACTGAAGCAGAAACCTTGAAGCTTGTCTAACATGCTGTTATTCCACTGCAGAACGATCAAGTCAGACACAATTGCATGAGAGTTGTATAGATTGGACATTCAGATTCCCACATCTGTAAAAATATTAATGCCTTCAAATTATAGAGTTACTACTAATATTTTCCTTGTTCAACAGCAATGGCAAAATTATGACATTGATCTATAAAAGGAATGGGGAAAACACGACGCCCACTTCCATCGCACAGATACAGTGGAACTTTCAATCGTTTGTTACAGAGAACGAAAAAGGCTTGATCGCTATTACTCGGTCAGGGTTTTTCTCGTTTTTTCTATTTCTCGGGTTCAAACTTTTATGTTGTAATAAAAAATAAAAATTTTTCTTATTTTTCCGGCGTAGAACTGTTGTAGCTCTATTGTCTGGGCATATCTTTGTGCCGTCCCCCTTGTAATCAGAAGCTTGCCTGCTACAGTAATTAGTGGTACAGCCGTTTCGTATACGCGCCCGGAGGAAGAGAACCTTAAGATCCACGTATAATTCCGCATTGGCACAATTCCTGCTTTTGCGCGAAATTTAATCCAACAAATTCAAAACTGTACAATTCAGTATACGTCCCAGTGATTCAAAAGTTAGACTACGTACTTGGGGTTTATCACTCAAGCGTGTCGTGTGTTCGTTATCAATGCTTCATTGGAATAGCAGTCAGCAAAATGAGACATGATAAAACTAAATTAGACAAAGAAAACATCTCGAACGTCATTATTTAATCATAATAACACTGAAATCGACCAATGGTTAATGCCGATGTGTTTAATAAGTGAAATCAGGATAAAGTACATACACGTTATTTTCCCTCAGAATAATCAAATACTCGGCAACAATGCCGGAAACGCGGATACGAATGCTTTACAGGACAGGATTACATCTCAAATCAGCCCTACACAGCCGTAAGAACAAATTGAAGCCATGTTTGGATTTTCATAATTAATTTCTCATCCTTTCCGGTAAAGCATTGTTTCACCGAGTCAATACGTTAAAGATTGCCGAGATTTTTCGTCTTGAACATTGCGTCAGCTTTCATTGATAAAAACATTCTATTGCCGTTTGATACAAATAGGCTAGAAAGTGTTGAACATTCCAGCGGTATTTGCTCAACTTCTATAAGTTTCGACTCAGGAATGAATGCCAAGATACTAATACGCATTATACATAAAAGAGAGTTATTTATACAAACAGCCCCCAGTTTTCGGACAACGTGTTTGTGGGTCCTAACTACATTGGGTATGAACGCATTTGGCGATTGACCTCGAGTAATCTCTACGTGGTTATTTGTTTTCTCAGATTCAAATGTTTATCAAAGGTGACGCGTGCTCGCGTTAACAAGACGCGTTTGCATGGTTGGCATGCTTATAATATTATATAGTTTGAAGAAAAGAGAGACCCAGTAATGGAATTTAATCACAGCATAGCGACCCACAGTAATGTAAGTTGGATGAACTTTACACACGCAAGTCCCATTCTCGTTGCCTACTAATAAGGAAAGCTAAAATTAATCCTGTATTGTTTGTCATGCGACCTATCTGGTAGATGTAATTTGCTCCAAGAAAATTTTCAACCAATCACATATTGGTTCTAATCAAGCGCGCGTTATGCAGATCTTGCTCACATATAAAATCCCGCGTCTCAACTTGGTACGTGACAAGCTGAACGTATATTTATCTATTGTTTTCACTTGGAGAGATTACTTCTGTTAATTGAGTTCTTGAAAATTTGTAATTGACACTAAAAAGTTGCCCGAGATTTATACATAACATACATTCTCTGCACAATTTTTCAAATGTCAAGACACAATAACCATTTTCATCATCATTACATTGGCCCCCAACCATGTCGAAAGTCGTCTACGGATTTATATGATTATCATTCCAGCTTCTCAGCTGGAGTTGCGTATAGCCTAAATGATAAGAGAAAACGAGTAATAGCCCCGCAAACAAGAGGTATGTGTTCACAATTACTCTTAGAAGTTGAACGAATGCGCGACATTCAAACCCCTAATTCTTGTAATTGCGCGTAAAGGGAGGTTCTCAGAGACTACACAAAGCATAAATATTGACCCACGGCAGTTTGGGAAACTTCTCTTTATTGAGGAACAGAGGCGGACATTCATGAAAGGAAAACCTGATATGACTTTGGAAGACTTTTCTGTTAACGTTGAATGTAGTTGGAAATATCTAACACAGGTACTAAATTTTATTGAGAATAGTTCTCCGAACTCAATGTCTTATACGTATAAAAAGTTTTCACGTAACCGATATATTGATAAATTAGACTCTACAAACAATGTACATATCGGTGTGGTTTTGGCCATGACGACAATATGTGTTATTAATTATTTCCTTCTTCCCTTAACTATATTAGCAGCAGCGAGATGAATACTGGCGAAGGGCAGCGTATATCGCCCAAGCGGGCTGTCAAGCACAAAAGATATTGGATAACTTAAGTATGACAAACCTATATACGCCTATACCATCCATACCGTCTATACCATCTATACCCTCTATGCCATCTACACCATCTACACCACTACCACCGGCATTCCCACCAACACTTCTATCTCCACCAAAAATACCACGTACTTCCTATGAACATTTTGTTATCGATATGAAAGAGGCGCTAAGTCGTCATGTACCTTTTATTGATGAACGCACTATAAGACAAATAACCGATGAAAGGTGGGATAGAATGACTGTGGAACGAAGAGCCCCGTGGATTGAAAAGTCGTTTGCGGATCAAAGGAAGTATTTTGTGGAAAGGAAATTGTATGTAGAAGCCATAGAAGAGCGGGAGAAATATTTTGCAGAATTAGGCTATCACTATTAAAGAACATGCAAATACTTTAGTGGGATTAGGTGATCCGTAATAGTAATATGGATGAAATTGTAACCTTAGTTTCTTTGTTGTTGTCGTTGTACCATACACATAGGGTTGATTTGGCTCAGGTTACGAGCATTATTTAGAGTCTTTATTATATCTCATTGTACGTAAATGTATGAGAGTGCGAACCTTTCAAAGAGCAGATGCACCCGTAATAATGTCAACTATATAAATTAAAAGAAAGTTAGTATCCATAATATATATTGTTACAATAAAATGTATACAACTTTCATAATGAAACGAACCCAATTCATTTGTAATGGCAGCCTGTCTACCACGATTATACGTTAATGTCAATTTATCTATCATTTCTCCAGCATTCTTTGTGGCATTCTCCATAGCACTACGCTTAGAAGCCATCTCGGCTGCATGGCTCTCAACGAGACCCCAGTAGATTGCATTCGCGAACGCAAATTCCTGGAGATTCTCCAGCACATCGTCCTCGATTTCGTATGCCGCGAAGTTGCCTAACAGTTAAAATCAAAAATTTACAATGAACGGATGGATATTAATTATTGATGCCGATTCCGAGAAACCATCCTTTCAGATGTACCCACCAGACTTCGTAAAAACGGCCTCCGAGTATACTGGAATCGTCTCCGCATAATAAGAAATTATGCTTTTAAAGTAATTATAAACAATAATCGCCTGATCGAATTCTGTTTTCTCTTTCAGAATAGTGTCCACTATGGCACAAGCTTCAGCATACGTTGGGACGTTTTTTCCAATTTGATTAAAGGACAGCTTAATGTTTTCTCTGTGTGTTCGTGACAATTGTGCTTTCGCTTTGTCACCAAGAACAATGGCTTCGACACCAGACTTTTCTTCGAGAATCTGACGAGAAGCTTTCGAAACACTACTATGAATACCACCACAAAGTCCACGATCAGAGGAAACAGTGACTACAATTGTTCGGGCATCGTCAGCTGACTTAGTGTCTGCATGAGAGAATAGAGCTTCAAATGATAAAAAATGCGTGTCAGACTAATGTTAATTTCAGACACAATATCAAGCGCGAGGTGTACGAATTGAATATGATTACCTGTTTGAGTTCTCCCGAACGTTCTGGCAATCTCCATTGCTTTCTGGGCTCTTAAAATAAGCAACCAATTTTTTTGTCAGTTGTGAGAATTAAAGAAATAGTCGAAACATCAACATCATTACGCTCACCGAGTCATTTTCGTCGATGCAATCATTTTCATCGATTTTGTGATCTGTTTATCAAAAAAACGGTTTTTGGTTTCAAGCCATATGTTTAATTCATTATTGAAGAGGGTCTCGGCTTCTTGATTCGAGCATTGTAATTTGATATGCTATCTACCTTTGCGATGTTGTTTACTGACTTGAGTCGAAGTTGAACTATTGTAAACAAGAGTCGGTTAAAAATTAATTAAAATGGAATACAAGTATGATGAGAAAAGCAAACCGACAAGTAATAGGACGGAATCGTCAGGAATCAATATACTTACTTTCCTTCAACGTAGCATAGTTCCGGGTTTGAAGTCTAACGCTGTAGAATTGTAAAAATGTCAGCACAACTAGTGGCCAGGGGAGACGCTCCTATTTCAAGAATAATATATTTTCACTAACCGTGCCTTAACTACAAGATCTATTATCAGTATTCCCTTACCTGGGTGCAACCGCATCCACAACGGGTCTTCCAACACGCAAAGCAAACATGGCTCTCGAAATTGTTTATTATTGAAGGTCAGAAGAAAATATTTCATCAAAAATTGGTCGACCAATTACAAGAGTCAAGCTGTATCACAACAAATTTATCACTACGCGAGCTAAAAATGGGACTTATTTTAACAGGAATGTCAAAGTACTAGATAACGGGAAATCACTGTACGCTACTACAGTAATATTAACACCCAGCTTTTGTTGACAAAAGGCTCGAGAATGCCCCTCACTTAATTCAAATTTTGTTCTCGATACCAATACAATTATTCTCATATTAACAGTAGAACTGAAGTAAATCACGTGCATCATGATCTCCTTTGATGACGCGAAAGTTTCATGACCGCTGAACAACTACGCTGCAAAGATTCTGTGACTAGAATCGAAGTTACTGTCTATCACTGTTCTTCAAAAGGCAACTACCACAAAACTAATTTGGAACAGATCCTGCATACCAACGTTTCTGAAGCACTAACATTTGGATCCCTTTGTTTTATTATAGACCTTACGTTCAATAAATGCGCTTTTAATTACTAGTCCTCATCATTCTTCACGGACAAAGAGTGGAAAACAATTCGCTCTGAAAATCCACATAAAGAATGCTGGAGAAATGATAGATAAATTGACATTAACGTATAATCGTGGTAG